AAAATTTACAGAAATGTGAGTGGGCGATGATGTCAAGATGAAAATGCAAACCAAGACTTTCACAGGTTCAAAGTATCACTATTATTTCACTAGGATGTTAGTGATATACACAGGTTATAGGAATAGACTCAAAAACAAAACAATAATTAAAACGTATGCGCATGTTATGAAATTAAATGCACTGTAAATACTGCAAGAACCAAGAAGTATTTTTTGAACAGAAAAATGGTGATATTAAAAGCAGAGATAGGGAATTTTCTGATAAGTAGGTACATTAATATTGGCAAATATGAAAACATCTCAGAAACATAAACAAAACAAAGACTGCACCAGATTTTACAATATGTCAAAGAAAAAATTCAAACGTCTAGAGTTATATTATAGAAGCTTTAAAATCAAAGACAAACTTAGAGTTCCATAAACATTCAGAAACATTCACCTGGATAGAGTGAATGAACACAGTAGACTAGTACCTCCATGAAGCTTTGCAAATGGCAGTCACCAGGAAACCTACAGGATTTTTAGTAGAGGACTTCACAATCAAAATGCTAGCCAAGCAACCCTCAGTTTCACAGTGCTGGGTTGGCTTAGATGAAGGTATTGAATACATTCATTGGTAACAGATATAATCAACAAAGTAAGGATTTAATAGGACATGCAGTTGTGAAAAACTATTGTTAGGTTAATAACTGGGAGGGAGAAATAATGAAAAGTGTCGATACAGGCAAATTGGCTGAAAACCAGACAATTACAATTATATTACAAATGAATTTAAAATATTTCTATAATTTTAGCAATTAGAGATTATGCCACCTATCACAAAGTTAAAGATGCCAGATGGCAGGTACTGTGGTGCACTGGATTTACTCACTGATTGGGATTCCCTCAGCCCATACTGAAGTGCCTGGCTTTAGTTCCATCTATTTAGCAAATGATCCATCTTCTTGCTCATATACCTTGGAGCCACTAAGTACTTAGTTTCCTGCCATCCATATGGAGGCCCAAGTGTAGTTCTGGTTATTGGCTTTGGGCTGTCTCAATACCAGTACTTATAGAAATTAGGTGGGCAAACAAGGGATAGAATACTTCTCTCTCTCTGTTTTAATCTCTCCTTTTTACAGTCTGCCCTTAAAATTCTTTTTTTATGTATTTTATTAGTGATGACAGATCAGAGAAACCATTCAGTTTTGTCTTTTGGGTACTGGCTTATTTCAATAAGTATGAAGGTTTCTGGTTGCATTCATTGTGTTGCAAAAGACAAGATGTCATTATTTTTATGGCTGAGTAATATTCCAACATGTATATATTAAGAGAGTACAAAAACATAATGTATATGAGTAAAATTGATATTTTCAGAGTTATTCTTGTTTACAGCTTTTGTCTCTACTGTTGTGGAACAGTGTTTTTATGTCATTAATATCTGTTGAATTCTTTACTTAGTGGAACATTAACATAACTAGTATAAAATAAACTAGAAATATGTCATTGTAAAATTAAAATAAAGAATAGGAAATGAAGGAGGAAGGAAGGTGAGAACATGGGCAGGAGGGAGGGGTAAGGTGGGAAGTATCACTGTGCTCTTAATACAAGGCAATTGTCCACCTTTTATAAATAAAAATAATCATCTAAAAGAAGATCAATATCATATATTTTTAAAACTTAGGTTGCCATTATCCAGAACTATATACACAGTTTCAAAATTAAAAGATAAACAAAATTGTATTTGCTGATGTATCAGTCTGTATTCTCCAGAAGAATTTGCATGGGCGAGTATAATCTCCTTTACTTAGTTCATAATAGATGTTAATCACATCCACAAAATATCTACACAACAACATCAACAGCAGTGTCTTCCAAAATACTCAACAGAAAGCCTCGCTAAGTGGATAGCTGGAGGTAAAAATTACTACAGACCCTGTATCAACACTGAATCCTTGGCCGGTGCTGCGGCTCACTAGGCTAATCCTCCGCCTAGCGGCGCCGGCACACCGGGTTCTAGTCCCGGTCGGGGCGCTGGATTCTGTCCCGGTTGCCCCTCTTCCAGGCCAGCTCTCTGCTGTGGCCAGGGAGTGCAGTGGAGGATGGCCCAGGTGCTTGGGCCCTGCACCCCATGGGAGACCAGGAGAAGCACCTGGCTCCTTCCTTTGCATCAGCGTGGTGCACCAGCCGCAGCGTGCCAGCCGTGGCGGCCATTGGAGGATGAACCAACGGCAAAGGAAGACCTTTCTCTCTGTCTCTCTCTCTCACTGTCCACTCTGCCTGTCAAAAAAAAAAAAAAAAAAAAAAGAAAAGAAAAAAAAAAAGAAAAAAAAAGAACACATCCCACTCAATTTCTGCCACCCTGCCAGTTACATCAGATGAACAAGACCTGACCAATACATTGCAAGCCTGATTAAAATGCAATGGGAAATGTGAGAAGGCTTTTGTATCAGTCAGATTCTCAACTTTTTTTTTTTTTGACAGGCAGAGTGGACAGTGAGAGAGAGAAACAGAGAGAAAGGTCTTCCTTTGCCGTTGGTTCACCCTTCAATGGCCACTGCGGCTGGTGTGCTGCGGCCGGCGCACCACGCTGATCTGATGGCAGGAGCCAGGTACTTATCCTGGTCTCCCATTGGGTGCAGGGCCCAAGGACTTGGGCCATATTCCACTGCACTGCTGGCCACAGCAGAGATCTGGCCTGGAAGAGGGGCAACTGGGACAGAATCCAGCACCCCGACCGAGACTAGAACCCGGTGTGCCGGCGCCACAAGGCGGAGGATTAGCCTAGTGAGCTGCGGCACCGGCCAGATTCTCAACTTTTAAAACACTAAGCATTAATTAATTAAATTGCAACTGGCAAGTAAAAATTGCATATATTTGTGAAGTATACTGTGAATTTTCAATGTATGCAATAATTGTGAGATCATTAAATCAAGCTAATTACAACATCTCTTGTGTATTAGCAGCTGAAGTAGCAAGGAAACAAACCAACCCAGTTTATTGAAAGTCCATTCTAGTCAGAGGTGGATAGTGAAAATTTCCTTACATTGTGTATATGCTGCCAGAGCCAAATAGGACTTTAAATACAAAGCTTAATAAATTGCAAAGTACAGTGTTACCTAGCAAGAGCCTATAAATTAATAAATTCCCTTCAGTAAAAAATAAGTTATTCCCCATATAAGATATTCTTCTTTGGGACTGGGACAAATACCATATGTTCTCCCTGATCGGTGACAACTGACTGAACACCAAAAAGGAAACCTGTTGAAGTGAAATGGACACTATGGGAAACGGTGACTTGATCAGCATAGCCCTGACTGTTAATGAACAACTTAATACATTATCCCTCTTAGTAGTTTTTTTGTCTGTTCTACTTAATATGACTGGTTTAATTCTGTAATTAATACACAGTTATTCTTAAGTGTTGAAATTTAACTGAAATGTAATCCCTGTTAAACATAAGAGTGGGAATAAGAGAGGGAAGAGATGTATAATTTGGGACATGCTCAAGCTGACTTGCCCCAAATGGTAGAGTTAGAAACATACCAGGGGATTCCAATTCAATCCCATCAAGGTGGCATGTACCAATGCCATCTCACCAGTCCAAGTGATCAATTTCAGTTCACAATTGATCATAATGAAAGGACCAAGAGTCAAAGGGAGCACATAAACAAGTCTAGTACCTGCTAACACTAACCAATAGAATAAATAAAGGGGAGAGTGATCCAACATGGGAAGTGAGATACTCAGCAGACTCATAGAATGGCAGATGTCCTAAATAGCACTCTGGCCTCAGAATCAGCCCTAAAGGCATTTGGATCTGGCTGAAAAGCCCATGAGAGTATTTCAGGCATGGAAAGCCAAGACACTCTGGCAAAAGATCTCTGTGAGTGAGATCCCAGTGGAAAGAACAGGTCTTCAAAGAAGGAGGTACCTTTCTCTGAAGGGAGGAGAGAACCTCCACTTTGACTATGACCTTGTCTAAACAAGATAAGAGTCGGAGAACTCAGAGGGCTTCCATAGCCTTGGAAACTCATGACTGGAGCATAGGGAGATTACTGATGCCATAGACAGGAGTGTCAATTTGTAAAGTCAACAACAGGAGTCACTGTGCACTTACTCCTCATGTAGGATCTCTGTCCTTAATGTGCTGTGCATTGAGATTTAATGCTATAACGAGTACTCAAACAATATATTTCACTTTGTGTTTCTATGGGAGTGCAAACGGTTGAAATCTTTACTTAATGCATACTAAACTGATCCTCTGTAAAAAAAAAAAAGAAATTATCAACTCCCAACTTGACTCTCACTGGGATTAAACATGACAATAGGTCTGCTCTGATTTCATCATCATTTAAAAAAATCATCTATTATTTTTCACTTTATGTTTCTGTGTGGGAGCAAACTGTTGAAATCCTTACTTAATGTATATTAAGCTGATCTTCTGTATATTAAGATAATCGAAAATGAATCTTGATGTGAATGGAAGGGGAGAGGGAGTGGGAAAGGGGAGGGTTGTGGGTGGGAGGGACGGTATGGGGGGGACGCCATTGTAATACATAAATCGTACTTTGGAAATTTATATTCATTAAATAAAAGTTAAATATTTATGGAAAGAAAAAAAAGAATCTAATAAATTATGAATAGTGAAAAAAAAGAAGATATTCTTCTTGTGACCAGTAATGTGGCATAGTGCGTACAGTCACCACTTTGTGAAACCAGCATCCAATATGGGTACTGGTTCGAGGCTCAGCTACTCCACTTCTGATCCAGCTCTTTGCTACGATTCCTGGAAAATCAGTGGAAGATGGCCCAAGCCTTTGGGCCCTGTGCCCATGTGGGAGACTAGGATGAAGCCCCTGGCTCATGATATTGGATTGGCCCAGCCCTGGCCATCGTGAGCCAGTGCGTGGAAAATAGATCTCTGTCTCTCCCTCTCTGTAGCTCTTCCTTTAAAGTAAGTAAAATAAGCAAAAAATTTTCTTCTATGCTTCCTCAGGTACTCATAAATAGGATTAGCGATGAGGTGAAAATCCTGAAAAAATCCCCATCCTCAAAGAAAGGACTATGGCTAAGGTAGAAAACATACAGTCCTGCTTCCCTCTTTGTTCCCTATTTTTATACAAAAAAGAATCCTAAAACATTTGGGGAAGTGAAATATAACCTAAAGCTTTGAGGAAGAAGGTAAACTCCAATTGCTTCCTGGAAGACATCATAGAAAACAATCAGAACAACGAAACCACCAGGTCAACAAAAATAAAACAATAAACAAGACCAATATCTAACCAGAAGAAGAACTTGAAAGGAGAGGGTGTGCTAAGGCAGAGTTCAAAAGAAAAGACTTACATCTAGGGTTGAATGGACATCATGGAAGCGCCTTTCTGGAAAGCAGCTTGCACGCACAAATATACACATAAACATATTCATAACAATATACTGAAGAAAGTCATAAAAATGCAACTGTCCTTTCTTGGACTGCTCAATTAGCAATAGTATTTGTAACTACCTTTTTTCAGGAACCAGTCCTTATTCCTTTTTCTCAGCAGGCATTGAGCTAGTTATTCTCCTGTATCTCATGAGCAGACTTAGGCCTTGATTTCTCGATATTCTAAAGAATATATCATTCCACTACATTTCTGCCACCCTCTCAAGTTACCTCAAATGAACAAGACCTGACAAATACATCGCAAGCCTCATTAAAGTACAGTGGAGAATGTGAGAGGTAAACCCTACTAAAGGTCAAGGCTTTTGTAGAAGTCATATTCTCAACTTTTAAAATACTAAATATTCATTAAATTGCAACTGGCAAATAAAATTTTATATATTTGTGAAATACACTGAGAAGTTTGATGTATGCAATAATTGTGAAATAGTTAAGTCAAGCTATCTGCAAATTCTCTTGACTCCATTAGGGGCTGAAGTAGCAGAGAAACAAACCAATTTTAAGTCCAATGAAAGATAGTCCCCTCTAGGTAGAGATGAGAGGTGAGCATTTTCTTACATGGTGTAAATGCTTCAGCTACAAAAACTAATAAATTATAAAGTACAGTGTTACCAACTAAGAGACTCTAAAGTCACAAATAAATGCCGCACAGAAACAAACAGAAGTAATTCCTCCACATAAAATTGTATTCTGGGGGTCAGTATTGTGGTATAGTGGGTAAAGCCACCACTTGTGACACCAGCATTGAATATGGGTATTGGTTTGAGGTCCAGTTGGTCGACTTCCGGTGCAGCTCCTGGAAAAACAGTGGAACTTAGCCAAAGTCTTGGACGCTGTGCCCATGTAGGGTCCACGATGAAGCTTCTGGCTCATGACTTTAGCCTGGCCCCCCCATGGCCATTGTGGCCATTTGTGGAAAGAGCCAGCGGGTAGAAGATAGATCTTTATCTCTCCTTCTCTGTAACTCTGCCTTTAAAAATAAGTAAAATACACAAGGATTATCTTAATTAGCTTCTTCTGGTATTCACAAATAGCATTAGCGATGAGATGAGAATCCTGAAAAGAATCACCACCTAAGGGTAAAGGACTATGGCAACTGTGGGTAATATGAAGTATTGCCTCAACCTCTGTTCCCTATTTCTTATACAAAATAGAGTATTAAGAGGAGCCGCCGCAGCCGCGCGAGCAGCAGCCAGAGTCACCGTCCCCGCTCGGCCCGGCCCGGCCCAGAGCAGCCCCGCGCCGCCGCCGCCCGCCTCCTCCACCGCTGGATGCCGGCGGCCTAGCTCGCACTGGCGGAGGACGGCACGGCGGGCGGCGGCGGCGGCGCCCGCGTCCCACGACGGGCCCGAGGCGGGCGTCCCTCCGGCCCCCGACGTGTTCGCCGGCTTCGCGCCCCACCCCGCGGCGCTGGGCCCGCAGACCCTGCTGGCGGAGCAGATGTGCGTGATCGGCAGCCGCAAGAAGACCGTGAACATGACCGAGTGCGTGCTGGTGCCCAGCTTGAAGCACGTCGCGGAGATCTTGGGGCGCCAGGGGTGCAAGATCAAGGCCCTGCGCGCCAAGACCAACATGCACATCAAGACGCCGGTGCGCGGCGAGGAGCCCGTGTTCATCGTGACCGGCCGCAAGGAGGACATGGACATGGCCAAGCGCGAGATCCAGTCGGCCGCCGAGCACTTCTCGCTCATCCGCGCCACGCGAAGCAAGGCGGGCGGGCTGCCCGGCGCCGCCCCGGGCCCGCCCCACCTGCCGGGACAGACCACCATCCAAGTGCGCGTGCCCCACCGCGTCGTGGGGCTGGTGGTGGGGCCAAGGGCGCCACCACCGAGCGCATCCAGCAGCAGATGCACACGTACATAGTGACGCCGAGCCCCGACAAGGAGCCCGTGTTCCCCGTCACGGGCATGCCCGAGAGCGTGGACCGCGCGCGCAAGGAGATCGAGGCGCACATCACGCTGCACACGCGGGCGCTCCCGGACGCGGCTTCCACGCCAACTGCACGGAC